AGTTTCCCTAAAACTCACACTATCGCTACACTCAGAATTCATTGATTTTCCACAAAAACCCATACAACTATCTATTTTAGTTTAAAGACCTAACAGCTCCCTCCACAGCATTAGCCAGTGCTCCCATCCCAAACTTAGATAAGTGAATTCCATCCCTGGCATACATGTCATTTATACCATATAAGATGTCCCAGTTGTCTGTGAATGTTACTGAATTTTCCTTACAGTGTTTGTCCAGTCAGCAATAGACACCAATTGCCCTTGACAACCATTCATTTCAAACTCCTCTCCTGGGCAATATGCCACATATCACAGGGTTCCCACCCTTCCTCTTAATTATCTCTATTGCTGTCCTATACCTGCTAATCAGGTCTTCACTGCTACATCTGCCAACATCATTGCCTTCCACACTGAAGCAGATAATAGGATTGCTCCCATTACCTTCGTGATATCGTCTAGACAGCTAACAATATCCCCCATCTCAGCCCCAGGAAAACACCCTCTGCCACCTCTTTCTGTGCCTAAGACAAAAAGCCCTATCCATAATTTTAACTAACTAAAACAATGCTCTTACCTTCACTGGTGGCGTTTGTTGTGACATTCTCAGTCTTCTTTGGGGTTTCAAGTGATGTGGACTCACTCTCGTCCGCCAATGCTTCCTTGGCGCTCGTTGTGACGTTCGCAGTAGACAACCCACATTCGTCAGGTAGCAGCGAAAATGAGTTGAAGTTTCCACAGTAGTCTTCTGGTTTTTCGTTGTTTCAACCACTCCAACAGTCTTCTTGATCTTCAGCTTCATTCCATGTTGCCTGTCCACTGACCAGGTTCCCCTCGTGACCTGAGGACTTACAACAGAAGGATTTACTACGAATCCTCTTGTTTTCCTCTGACAATCGCCGTATCTTGAGCTTAGCAACCCTAAGCTCCTCTTTTAGCTGCTTGTAGAGTTGCTCAAGAAAGGACATATTGGCTCAGATTCACAGAGAGCACAGAAGACAATTCTTCTCAGAGCAAAGTACAGGTCACCACTCAGCTAAGTGCAGGTCACCGCTCAGCTAAGTGCAGGTCACAAATGCATCCCCCTGTTAACTAAGTCACTTCTTCACATACGGGTTGCTGTGCATTTCTAAGTTAGTTTAAGATATAAAACCATGTGAAGCAAACATAAGCCAAGCAACCACTGCTCATGGATAAAGATATACAGTCAGATTACTACCCTTAAGAAGTCCATATGTCAGCCATTTGACTGTTTTTACAATAGTAAAATGATGTCTGTGATTTTAATGAAGTACTGGAGAAGGAGCACCAACTGAACACGACTGATGTAAAACATTTTAATGAAGTATTAGAGAAGGAGCACCAACTGAACACGACTGATGTAAAACATTTTAATGAAGTACTGGAAAAGGAGCACCAACTGAACACGACTGATGTAAAACATTTTAATGAAGTACTGGAAAAGGAGCACCAACTGAACACGACTGATGTAAAACATTCACATTACAACAGTTCAGGACTCCATCAATAGTCGTCAAGTTGATTATTTTAATAATGTCATGATGACTGTGGTTATATGGATGGATTGAATATAGTTACTCAGGTATTGTGGCACTGACACTCAGGTGTTGTGGGATTGTCACTTAGGTGTTGTGGTACTGACACTCAGGTGTTGTGGGACTGTCACTCAGGTGATTTGGTATTGTCACTCAGGTGTTGTGGTACTCTCACTCGGTGATGTGGTACTCTCACTCATGTGTTGTTTTACTGTCACTCAGGTGTTGTGGTACTGTCACTTTGTGATGTGGTACTGTCACTCAGATGTTGTATGAATACCTCTCAGGTGTTGTGGTACTGTTACTGAGGTGTTGTACTGTCAATCAGGTGTTTTGGTACTGTCACTCGGGAGTTGTACTGTCACTTAGGTGTTGTGGTACTGTCTCTTAGGTGTTGTGGAACTATCACTCATATGTTGTACTGTTATTCATTTGTTGTGGTGTCGTGGTACTGTCAGTCAGGTATTGTGGTACTGTCTCTCTGGTTTTGTGGTACTGTCACTCAGGCATTGTGGTACTGTCACACAGGTGTTGTTGTTTTGTCAATTAAGTGTTGTTGTGCCATCACTCAGGTGTTGTACTGTTACTCAGGTGTTGTAGTGTTTTTGAGATGTTATACTGTCTCTCATTTTGTTTCTCCCTCTGATGTTGTACTTTCTCTCAAGTGTTGTGGCACTGTCATTCAGACTGTTTCACTGTCAGGTGTTTTTGGTCATTCAGGTGTTGGTATTGCTTCCAGGTATTATGCTTCTCTCACTCAGTGTTGTGATACTCGCATTCAATTGTTGAACAACTGTTACACATGTGTTATGTTCGAGTCACACAGGTGTTGTGGAACCATCACTCAGGTATTTAGGTACTGTCACTCGTCTCTTCTCGAACTGACATTTAGGTGTTGTACAGGTACTCAAGTGATGTTGTACTGGCACTCAGGTGTTACAGTACCGTCAATCAGGTGTTGTGGCATTGTCTCATAAGTGTTGTAGTAATGTCACTCAGGTGTTGTACTGTCATACAGGTTTTGTACTGTCACTCAGGTGTTGTGTTGTTGTACTGTCACTCATGTGTTGTACTGTCACCCAGTTGTACTGTCACTCATGTGCTGTACTGTCACTCAGGTGTTGTACTGTCAGGCGCTTTGGTACTCCCAGGAGCTGTAGAACTAGCGCTCAGATGTTGTGGTACTGTCACTTAGGTGTTGTTTAACTGTCATTCAGGTGTTGTGGTACTGTCACTTAGATGTTGTGGCACTGTAGCTCAGGGGTTGTGGTACTGTCACTCAGGTGTTGTAGTACTGTCACTCAAGTGTTGTGGTACTGTCACTCAGGTGTTGTGGTACTGTCACTCAGGTGTTGCGGTACTGTCACTCAGGTGTTGTAGTACTGTCACTCAGGTGTTGTGGTACTATCACTCAGGTGTTGTGGTACTGTCACTCAGGAGTTGTGGTACTGTCACTCAGGTGTTGTGGTACTGTCACTCAGGTGTTGTGGTACTATCACTCAGGTGTTGTGGTACTGTCACTCAGGAGTTGTGGTACTGTCACTCAGGTGTTGTGGTAGTCACTCAGGTGTTGTGGTACTGTCACTCAGGTGTTGTGGTACTGTCACTCAGGTGTTGTGGTACTATCACTCAGGTGTTGTGGTACTGTCACTCAGGTGTTGTGGTAGTCACTCAGGTGTTGTGGTACTATCACTCAGGTGTTGTGGTACTGTCACTCAGGTGTTGTGGTAGTCACTCAGGTATTGTGGTACTGTCACTCAGGTGTTGTGGTAGACACTCAGGTGTTGTGGTACTGTCACTCAGGTGTTGTGGTAGTCACTCAGGTGTTGTGGTACTATCACTCAGGTGTTGTGGTACTGTCACTCAGGTGTTGTGGTAGTCACTCAGGTGTTGTGGTACTATCACTCAGGTGTTGTGGTACTGTCACTCAGGTGTTGTGGTAGTCACTCAGGTGTTGTGGTACTATCACTCAGGTGTTGTGGTACTATCACTCAAGTGTTGTGGTACTGTCACTCAGGTGTTGTGGTACTATCACTCAGGTGTTGTGGTACTATCACTCAGGTGTTGTGGTAGTCACTCAGGTGTTGTGGTACTATCACTCAGGTGTTGTGGTAGTCACTCAGGTGTTGTGGTACTGTCACTCAGGTGTTGTGGTACTGTCACTCAGGTGTTGTGGTACTGTCACTCAGGTGTTGTGGTACTGTCACCCCAGGTGTTGTGGACTATCACTCAGGTGTTGTGGTACTGTCACTCAGGTGTTGTGGTAGTCACTCAGGTGTTGTGGTACTGTCACTCAGGTGTTGTGGTACTGTCACTCAGGTGTTGTGGTAGTCACTCAGGTGTTGTGGTACTGTCACTCAGGTGTTGTGGTACTATCACTCAAGTGTTGTGGTACTGTCACTCAGGTGTTGTGGTAGTCACTCAGGTGTTGTGGTACTGTCACTCAGGTGTTGTGGTAGTCACTCAGGTGTTGTGGTAGTTACTCAGGTGTTGTGGTACTGTCACTCAGGTGTTGTGGTAGTCACTCAGGTGTTGTGGTACTATCACTCAGGTGTTGTGGTACTATCACTCAAGTGTTGTGGTACTGTCACTCAGGTGTTGTGGTAGTCACTCAGGTGTTGTGGTACTATCACTCAGGTGTTGTGGTACTATCACTCAGGTGTTGTGGTACTATCACTCAGGTGTTGTGGTACTGTCACTCAGGTGTTGTGGTAGTCAGGTTTGTATGGGGTACTTCACTCAGGTGTTGTGGTAGTCACTCAGGTGTTGTGGTAGTCACTCAGGTGTTGTGGTACTGTCACTCAGGTGTTGTGGTACGTCACTCAGGTGTTGTGGTAGTCACTCAGGTGTTGTGGTACTGTCACTCAGGTGTTGTGGTAGTCACTCAGGTGTTGTGGTACTGTCACTCAGGTGTTGTGGTAGTCACTCAGTGTTAGTGGTGTGTACCTCAGGTGTTGGTACTATCACTCAGGTGTTGTGGTAGTCACTCAGGTGTTGTGGTACTGTCAGGTGTTGTGGTAGTCACTCAGGTGTTGTGGTACTATCACTCAGGTGTTGTGGTACTATCACTCAGGTGTTGTGGTAGTCACTCAGGTGTTGTGGTACTATCACTCAGGTGTTGTGGTAGTCACTCAGGTGTTGTGGTACTGTCAGGTGTTGTGGTAGTCACTCAGGTGTTGTGGTACTATCACTCAGGTGTTGTGGTACTATCATTCCTGGATTATAAACACTATAATTAGTTCTTGTGTTTGTCACTATAATATTGTTCCCATATTTTTAATAAATTTTACCCATATTATTGTCAGTATTTTATTGTAAATTTAAGAGATTTATGAAAATGTTTTTAACATATCAATATTAGTCAAATATTACTGTTTTCATAATACTGCTAATGTAACATTATCATCCTAAGTTTACAATATAAACAGTGTTATATTACATCTACAGGTGACAATGGCTCGGATACTTAATACTGCGAAGAGTCGTGTCGACTTGTTCCAGGACCCAACAGTGAAGCGAGTCCAGTATATGGTCATGTCTTGTGTCCACCCAGACTATGGTCGTCGTGATGTTTGCAAGAAGTTAGGGCAGGTGGGTAGTTATTGGTACTTGTGGTGGTGCTAAGGTAATGCAAGTTGTTGATTAGCTCTCGGGAGATGTTGTGGTGAAGTAGGTGGGTGGTAATTAGCTGTCGGGTGTTGCTACGGTAACGCAGATGAGTGGTGATTATCTCTTTTGGTGGTTTTTAAAGTAATGCAGGTGGATAATAAGTACCTCTAGTGGTAGTGCTAAGAGAATGTAGGTGGGTGCTCAATCAGCGTTAGTGGAGTAACTACGGATGTTGTAGCAAATGGAGTGATATGATATATAATTCCGACTAAGTGAATAAATACACATATGCAGCTAAATATTAACAATGTTTCACCTACACAGTAAACTTTACGTCACTTCAAGGTGAATATATCATACATAGAATAACCCACAAAAAAGTGAAACGATGTAGTGTATTTCCACTGGTGTCCTTGACCTAATAAAAGTATCAAACGCCTAATCGACGTGTCTAAGCATTACACATGGGTGAAAGTCCGAAATGTGCCATTTGAGGCGGACGAGACTGATCTGCGGTATGTATTTGAACAGTATGGACCTGTACACCTGGCTATGGCTGGTAAATGGACGGATGGGGCGTATGCCGGCTTGCCGGATGGTACGTTCACGATCAAGATGGCGTTGAGGCATGCCATCCCGTCTTACGTCATACTGGACGCATTTAGGACACAGGTAATGGTGTACTACGCTGGGCAGCAGAAGACGTGTAGGTTATGTGGTGTATATGACCATATGGCGGCCCAGTGTGGGAGATGGCAGCGGAGAAAGGACCTAGGTAGTGAGATGGTGAAAGAACCAGAACCAGAGGTGGGTCATGCTGATGAGTCACCTGGACATAGAAGTGGCACTTCCTGGAGTGAGGAAGTGGAGCGTGAGCTGCCACTGGTGGGTACCAGCCCATCACTGTCACAGTTAGTGGGAAGTGAGGCATCTGCCTTGGAGAACGGGAAGACTGTGCAGATTGGTGACATGCGGGTAGAGGGAGGCCTACTGGTGAACGTGCAGGAAAAATCCTTTGAGAAGCAGGTTTCTGAGGATAACTTGAGTATGGTGAGGAGTACTGTTCAGATTGAAGATGAGCAACTTGGAAGATTGGCGAACATGGCAGATGACTCGCTAGGAGTGGTGGAAGAGATTGAGGTGAATGCTGAGATTCACAGGGAGGCATCCAGTGAGTTAGAAATGGATGCAGAGTGTGTCAACCGTAAGAGGGCGGCGACATATTCCGACTCGGATGATACTTTGACCCCGGCACAGAGACCGGGAAAAAAGCCATGGGTTGATGTGGTGCGTGGGAACACTAAAGGTACGCCTGGTCAGGTGTTGGATCAGGGGAAGCCACCAGTGGGCAGTGGAGAGAAAAGTGGACGAAGCAGACACACTGAAAGCGTGTCAGTGAAAGGTGAAAAGGGGCAGAGGGTGAAATCACATAAGTAGGTTTCCGGTGCATGACAGTGAATATTAATGGATTGTGTGCGAGTGAGAAGCGTCTGTGGGTAAAGGGATTTTTAAGACGTTATGCTATAGACATTGTTTTTGTGCAGGAACATAATTTCAAGCTGGGAAAGGAATTGGAGGTGGATGGGTACAAAGTGTTTGTGATGTATTCGGAGCGAATGAAGGGAGGGGTGGGAATCCTGATCCGAGAGACGAGCCCGTTTGTTGTTCTTAGGAGTGAAGGGGGAAGGGGGTCGTGTGTTAAGAATAGATGGGTGGTGGAGAGGTGAGCGGATGGCAGTCGTTTGTGTGTATGTGCCGGGTGAGAATGATGTAAGGGTAAAGAATGAATTTGTGAATAACGTATTGGTATATTATTTGCGGTCATTACCGTCAGTGACAATAGTTGGTGGCGACTGGAACTGTGTGGTGCGCAGGAAGGATGTAGAACCGAGAGGGGCAGGGTGTTTTTTGGCAGGTTTAGGGGATCTATTGAGAGGTGTGGGATTGAGGGATATAGTTGATGGAGGGGATTGCGAGATAGAGCACACATTTCATAGAAAGGGATAGGCTGCACGATTAGATAGGTTGTATGTGACAAGGGGAGTGAGGGTGACGCAGGTGCAGACGGTGAATGTCGTTTATTCAGATCATAGGGCGGTTTATGCTGATTTAAATTGGGACGGTTTGCCTAAGAGATATTTGGGGTACTGGAAGCTGAATGTACGACTACTGGGTGAGGGGGTGGAGGGAGGGGATTTTTAAAGTTTGTGGGAGGACTTATGGGGTGGGGGTAAGAGTGCAAGCGATTTATTGGGGTGGTGGGATGGGGTTGCGAAGACGAGGATCAGGCAATATTATGTGCGAAGGGGAAAGAATGAGGCATGGATGACATATGGGCTTCAACAGTATTTAGAGGGGTGGTTGCAGGGTTGTTATCAGAGGGGTGCTGTGACAGGTGTGTATCCAATGGAGGAAATTGAAGCATTAAAGTGGCAGATAAGGGATATGCACAATGAGAGATTTGATGAGGCGAGGGTGCAAGGTGGGTTAGAGGAGGCGATTTGGGGTGACAGGCCGTCAGCCTGTGTGTTACGGGGTCAGCGGAGATGCAGGTTGGCAATGGAAATTGATAAGCTGGTAGTGCACGAGAACTTAGGTGGGTATACGAAGGGTCAGGAGTTGCGAACTACTGAGGGTATGAGTGGTTTTATGGATCGTTGATTTGGAAAATATTTGCGGAGTGTAGGAGTGAACGGTGAGGATTTAGAGAGATTGGGAGAGAATGTATTTTGTGTGCTGAGTGGAAGTGATCATATGGCATTGGGAGGGGATATTGAAGAGGGGGAGGTATGGAGAGCTTTGGAGAATATGGCGAGAGGTAAAGCGCCAGGTATAGATGGGTTACCTTGTGAATTCTATGTGAAGCATTGGAGTGTGTTGAAGGATTTTTTAGTGAACCTGATGAATGTGATGAAAAGTGAGGGGAGGATGGGTGAGTTGCAGCGTACTGCAGTAGTAGTATTGATTCCAAAAGGGAAAGGCCCTACTACAGTGCAGAACTACAGGGCGTTGTCGTTGTTATGTGCTGATTATAAGATATTCGCAAAAATCTTGGGGAACAGGCTGAAGTGCGTGATAGATAGAGTTGTTGCGAGAGGTCAGTATGGGGTGCCTGGAAGGACGATGTATGAGGGACATGGAATAATAAAAGATTTTGTGGAAAGTATGGAGGGGGAGAATGAAAGGAGGGGAGGTGTCTTAGCATTGGATTGGCAGGCTGCGTATGATTGCGTAGAACGAAAGGCACTGTGGCATATCTTACGGAGGCAGGGTTTTGGGGAAGAGATGGTACGTTGGATTGAGACTTTGTATAATAGGGTAGGTGTACGTGTGCAGGTGAATGGGAAATTGGGTGAGTGGGTTTCAATGGATAGAGGCATAAGGCAGGGTTGTCCTCTGTCTCAACTGTTGTTTGCTTGTATACAGGACCCTTTTTATAGGGCAGTGGGGCGATATTTAGGGGTGGTACGTGGTGTGGAGAATGGTGGGATGGGAATAATAGGGTATGTGGATGATACAACAATTCTAATGAGCAGGGAGGAAAGTTAACATGAGGTGGAGGATGTAATTGGTGTTTTGAAGGTGTTACAGGTTTAAAAGTGAATGTGGAGAAATCGAAATTATTGGTCTTAGGGAATTGGGTAGGGAGGGCACGATGGGAAACAGCTGTGCGTTGGTGTGTGGTGGATAGACTAAAGGTGTGTGGGATAATTTATATGGGGAATGCCGGGGAGGCACGGATGCTTAATTCTGGGAGGGCAGTGGATAGGTTGGTGGGTAGGTTAAATGTTTTGAGACCCTTGCATTTGACGATACATCAACGTGTAATAGTGGTGAATGTGATGTTATATAGTATGGTCTGGCATGTGGCAGCAGTATATCCGTTGGCAGGACCGGACATAACTAGAACGCTGAAAAAGGTTTTTCGATATATATGAGGTTCTGGGTGTGATTGGTTGGGTAGAAGTGTTGTTATGCTACCGGTCGACAAAGGTGGATTGGGTTTAATAGATATAAGATTAAGGGTTAAGTGTATATATTTGAAGAGGGGGTTTCTCCGAGTGGAAGGTCGTGTGGGGAAGGGTGTGCAAGCATTATATGAGGAGGCACGAAGGTGGTGGGTAGGATCAGAGATGAGAGAGTGTGAGGATGTGCTGCGAGCTTTATTGTATGTTAGAGATCCGTCTAGGATACGGGTAGGTGTTCTGGAGCGTGCTGTTGGGGTGAGGGTGATTGCAAATGTTGAGGGCATATACCCAATGTATGCATGGAGAGACATTTGGGTAAGGTTGCGGTTGGTGCGCATCAGACCAAGAGTGAGAGAGGTAATGTTTCGTTTCCTTCATGGAATATTGCCGTCTGGTGCGGTGCTTCGGGAGAGAGGGTTGATGGTGGAGGACGTATGTAGGGTGTGTGGGGATAGGGAGACAGCTTTTCATGTAGTATATTTTTGTAAAAATTTGGAGTGTATACGGAGTGGATGGGTGGGATTTTGAGGAGGGTGGGTGGGGGAGGGATATCGGTATTAAGAGCATTGAGTTTAGATGTGGGAGGTGTGGAAGAGTCTGTGCTGCGTGCTTTGGTGTACATCATAACGGATTTTGTTTTCGTATCATGGGCCATGAGGGGTAATGGGGATTGGATGGTGCGAAAGAAGGTATTGGCTGCAACAATGTACAAAACACTTAGTCGTAATAGGGGGATATATGGAAGTAGATGGGAAAGGGTTTTTCCTGAAGGATATCGAAGTATGAATGTCAGAGGTTTGTTGGCGGAGTGAAGGAAAAAAAAAAAAAAAAAGGGGGGGGGGGATGTGTTTGGATTTTCAGGGGTTGCACCGGGCTCGTCTCAGAATTTGGGAATGTATGAGGAGTTCCATGATATGGTGTGAAATGGCAGCGTAGTTGTGGAGTGTGTTTTAAGTAAGTTTGTGGTGGTTTGTAAGGGAAAAGTTGTTAAGATTTTTATGGACATGGAAATGAGCAATATTTGTGTGAATGTGAAAAGTATACGGTCATACTCAGAATGGTATACTGATGTATGTTATGGATAAGTTAAATTTGGAATATGTTGTAATGTATTATCAGGATTGGTGGTTGTATTAAAGCAAAGGACATGCGGGCGTAATAAATATGTCTGTGTACCAAATGTACTGCTCATAATGAAATAATGCAATGTGTGTGATTTTTATCATACATCAAGTGTATATAGCAGTATGTAAGAGAGAATTTCATGTACTCAGTATGGGTTGTATATTGGTATTCGGTGAAGTTCAATGAATATTATTGACGAGTGATGGGTATATAAGGACGTGTTTATGTACAATGTGTTAAGTAGGGTTAGGATGGTGAGGCAAGTAATGCTGCGGTCTGTAGAATAAGAATATAGTCTCGTTTAAGTTAATGTTTAATAGTAATGACTATGTATATTTCATTATATGGTAGAAGAAGTTTGTTACTCAAAACTGGAAATTATATTTGAAAAATATTACTATTGTGTAAGTTCGCTTGTGGGATGAATGTAGTGTATGGCAGTGAGGTGGGACGAATCATTTGTTATATTATACTGTGTTTAGTTTTTCTGTGGTGAGGTGTGGAGATTGTTATTTTCTAACCTTTATTTGTTTCGTAATTATTGAGGTGTTACGTATTATGTATTTGATATGAAGTTTAATATACAACAATAGTAAGTGTGTAAAGAATTTTTGGATAATTGAGAATGTCTTCGTACATACAGTTTTATGTAAATTGTCAATACCTGTGACATTCTTTGGGTTATATTGCATATTGTGTTTATGGCTGCAATTTTGGATGTAATAAACCCACCTGTATATGAAGCTGTGGGCTGTCTTTAGTTTAGTTCTTATGTATAAGTTTAGTGCTACGGTAGGGAATGTGGAGTTTTCTTTTGTTATATATAATGGATATGTTTCATTGCTTACATTGTCTACATGTATAACTATGTATTGCGTTTTTCAATAAAATATAAAAAAAAATAAAAGTATCACATACAAAGATGTGGAATGGATTGCCTGCACATATCATAGACTGTCCTAGCAAGAGCCAGTTCAGGAACAGAACTAAAAATTACCTAAAGAATGAAGCTACAGAAAGGGAAAGGAGTGATATTTAGTATAGTTAATATTCACATACCTACAAATGTAAGCTGATCCTCTATTTAGTATTCACACAGTTGAGTTAACTGGCTGTTTTAATTATTGACTGATTACTACTGCATATTACAGGTAGGCTTTAAATAATAAGATATTACACTTTGAATTATTGGAGGGTCGTCATAGGTAATTTA